ATAGTATGCAGTTAGCCAAATGATAGATTTCAATCCAGTCATATCAGAAATCAGACTAAGATACTAGAGGAAGATTAAGCATACAAATATTAATCAAAAGAAAATTGTGATAGCTGTGTTAATATCAAAGTATATTTTAGAATAAGGAACATTATCAGAAATAAAAAAGGACATTACATGATTCACAATAGGTCATTTCTCCAGAAAGATATAACAATTCCAAATGTAGGATGTACCTAACAGCAGAACTTCAAATTACATTAAAAAAAAACCTGATCAAATTGAAGTTAATTCAAAGAGTAAATTTTATTGTATACGAAGTAAAAAAAAATAAAAAAGATAACATTAATGATATTTGTAATTATGTACAGTTTTAAAGCAGGTGAATCTTAACTATATTTTTAGTAGAGGAAGAGAAATGATAAAGCAAAGATGTTTACATTAAAAAATTAGAGAAGTAAATATGATAAAAAATGAGAGGGAGGACTTCTGGCCAAGATAGAGGTACAGGTAGACACAGGTTGCCTCCTTGCACAACCAAAATAAGGACAACTACAATCTAGAAATAAAAAACAACCAGTACTGACAGGAAATTGAACTGTATGGAAGTTTGACAACCAAGGAGTTAAAGAAGACACATTCATCCAGACTTGTAGGAGGGGTGGAGTCAGGTGGCTGGGCTGAGAGGACTTGTGGCAAAGCTGCGGCTGCTGGACCTCTGATGTGCAAGGCAGCAGCTGGTAGACCCAGCCAGGTGGCGGATTGTGGAGTTGGGCATGCATGCAAGGTGGCTGGCAGACCAGGCAGTCTCACATTTGCATGCAGATAAACCAGGCAAAGCTTGAGAGCAAGACAAACCACACAATCCAGGGTCCCAGCACTAGGAAATAAAGCCTCAATCACTGGTTGAAAATACCTGTGGGGGTTGAGGTGCCAAGAGAAACTCCCAACCTCACAGAAGAGTTCATTGGAGAGGCCTATGGGGTCCTAGAACATGCACAAACCCACCACATGGGAATCAGCACCAGAAGGGCCCAATTTGCTTGCAAGAAACAGGGGAAGTGACTGAAAATCCAGCAGAGAATGAAGTGAGTGCCATTGTTCCCTCTTGGACTCCTGCCCCACATACTCTGTTACAACCCAGTGACTTAGTTGCCCAGCCCTGGTGAATACCTAAGGCTCTACCCCTCACTATGTAACAGGTGCATCAAGACAAAAAAAAGTGGCCTAAACAAAAGAACAGATCAAAGCTCCAGAAAAAAATACAACTAAGCGACGATGAGATAGCCAACCTATCAGATGCACAGTTCAAAGCACTGGTGTTCAGAATGCTCACAAAATTGGTTGAATTTGGTCGCAAATTAGATGAAAAAATGAAGGCTATACTAAGTGAAATAAAGGAAGATGTATAGGGAACCAATAGTGATGGGAAGGAAACTGGGACTCAAATCAATGGAGTGGAACAAAAGGAAGAAAGAAACATCGAATCAGAAAAGAAAAAGGAAGGGAGCACAGGGCGGGGGAGGCTGGGATGGGAGAAATAGACAAAAAAATTGTACTTGAAAAATAACTAAATAAAATTTTAAAAAAGAAGAAAAAAAGAAAAAAAAGGAAAAAGAATTTAAAAATATGAGGAGAGGCTTAGGAACCTCTAGGACATCTTTAAACATTCCAACGTCCACATTGTAGGGGTACCAGAAGGAGAAGAAGAAGAGCAACAAGTGGAAGGGTTATTTGAACAAATAATAAAGGAGAACTTCCCCATTCTGGCAAAGGAAGTAGACTTCCAGGAAGTCCAGGAAGCTCAGAGAGTCCCAAAGAAGTTGGACCCAAGAAGGAAAATACCAAGGCACATCATAATTACATTACTCAAGATGAAAGATAAGGAGAGAATCTTAGAAGCAGCAAGAGAAAAGGAGACAGTTACCTACAAAGGAGTTCCCATCAGATTGTCAGCTGATTTCTCACAAGAGACCTTACAGGCAAGAAGGGGCTGGAAAGAAGTATTCCAAGTCATGAAATCCAAAGACCTACATCCAAGATTGCCCTCTCCAGCAGAGTTTTCATTTAGAATGAAAGGGCAAATAAAGTGCTTCTCAGATAAGGTCAAGTTAAAGGAGTTCATCATCACCAGGTTCTTATTTTATGAAATGTCAAAGGGCCTTATCTAAGAAAAAGAAGATAAAACATGTACAGTAAACTGAGAGCAAACTCACAATAATTAACAATGACACCTAAAACAAAAACAAACCAAGTAAAGAACTGGAACAGGAACAGAACCACGGAAATAGAGAACACATGAAGAGTTATCAGCAGGGGAGTGAGAGGAGCAGAGAGGGGGGAAAAGGTAAAGAAAATAAGTAGCATAGATGGTAGGTAGGATATAGACAGGGGAAGGGTAAGCATAGTATGGGAAATGTAGATGCCAAAGAACTTATAGGTATGACCCATGGACATGAACTAAAGAGGCGGAATGTGGGTGGGAGGGGGTGTGAAGGGTGGAGGGGAGTGAAGGGGGGAAATGGGACAACTGTAATAGCATAATCAATAAAATATATTTTTAAAAAATGAAAGGGACTTCCAGAGTTCTTGCAATGTCCTATTTCTTGTGTTTGGTAGTGGCTATTAGAGGTTTGGTTAATAATTAATTACTCATTTAACTTATTACACTTTGCATATCTGTTTTATACACTTTCTGCCATGTGTCATATTTTACAAGAAATTTGTAAAAAATAAATTTGAAATAAAATCATGGGGAAACTAACTGAAGAGCAAATTCTTTTTTGAAATATAATGCTATGCAAATTTTATTTATCTGATTTATATTGTTTCATTATATAATTGGAACAATATAATTTTTTACTTTGTTTGCCTTGAATTCTAGGACTCTCAAAGATGCTTTATTCTGAAATTGAAAGTTCTGTCGTTCTGATCTGTTTATTGTTTATGTTGTCCCTCATAGTATCTTGTTTCTTATGTGTCATGAGTGTGTTGTATTAGGTATTTTATTAAGCTTTTTAGTTCTTTGTTGGGGGTTTCACTTATATCTACTATATTTTCTGGCATGCCCTTCTATTTTTTAAAGACTATAATTATTTTAAGAGCAGTTTTAGATTTCTAAAAAAGTTGAGAGGAAGGCACACATATTTCCAATGTACCCTCTGCCCCCAACATAAATATACATAGTCCCCCCTTCCCCATTATGGGGACATTAGTTTTCAGAATGGTACTTTTTTTCCCCACAAGGATGAACCTACATTGGCACATCCTAATCACCCAAAATCCATAGTTTATCCTAGAGTTCACTCGGTGTTATACTTTACATAGTTTTGGATAAATGTATAATGACATATATCTATCATTATAAAAAACATACAGAGTATTCTCACTGCCTTAAAAATCCTCTGTCTTCTGCCTATTCATCTTTCTTTCTTCCCCCATTATTAATTCTGTGTGTGTGTGTGTGTGTGTGTATGTCTCCTTAGTGAAATTTTTTTTTAACTGCAGGAGAAAAGTAGACTCTTCAGGGTTATAAATCACAATGCAAGTGCAGCAAACAGGGAAGCAGCAGAATTGCCTGGCGACCTCCTCATACCCAAAGGCAGCTCTGACAGAAGATGCCAACAGCCCTGCACTGAAAGGCTGCCGCGGCCAACACCCTCACTTCCTAGCAGGGCCTGAGCCAACCACAGTGGGCTGGGCTACCCCATATTTTCTGTGTGATGACGACAAGGATCCTGCAGTTGGTGTGGGGTTAAACTCCATTCCTGTAAGGACAAGTGAACTTTCTAGAGAGACAATGGTGTACCTGACATATGAGGTAGGATATTCCACATGAACTTGGTATTTCCATTTTTATTATGTGGCTTGAGCACTCTTAACATCTCGTTCCCTCTCTGCCCCGAACATACTAAGGAGGGCGACGTGGCAAACCCTGCCTGGGTCCTCGAGTTTAAATCTTCAAAACCCTGAGGAAACACCCCTGCACTGGTGGTTATGTGCATTTTTCCTCTCCTTTGTCTGTGGAACAGGGAGCTCCCTAAACTGCAGTTCCCTGATAGAGGCAAGACTTTCTTGTTGGCTACTTACAACTTCTTTCATACCTGATTCTGGTGACCAGCTACGTGTAGACTCACTTAGGGGGTGATCTTACTTCATAAAGTAGTACTGTTGAGTGGAATCCCTTTCAAGGTGGTCCAAATTGATTATCTTCCTTGAGCTCTAACTAGGTCAAATGTGGGTATTCTATATTTGCTCTATTTTTGGTGGGAATTCAGTTTGCTCCTGTTGTAGTCCATTTCTTTCTGCTGTGTTCTCAGAGTGAGCTTTTTTATATAGTATTGACATTTTTTTCAGGTCTGAATCAGGGACAGTATAGGTATCCTTCAAACTCCAGGGAACAAGATCAAGCCTTCTGAGTGGTTCTTTTGATATAATCCTCATTTTACATCATGGAGATTACATTCTAACAACTCACTAAAGATATTTTTACTCATGCCCCCAATCAAACTTCCAGCCTCCCCTTGTACACTGTTGATGAGGATGATGAGCTAAGCATTGAAAAACTGGCTTCATAGGCTCTTGGTGTATCCAATACTGGTGTATGGGGTTTCTACCAAAAATTCAGGGCACACACGCATTTTATCTTTTATTTGTCTTTTAAACACAGTGTTATACAGCCATGTAAGCAAATCACCCAGTTGATTTCCATCTTTTAACAAAGTTGTGCAGATAGAGATTGCACATTGAAAAAAACTTTCCTGGCAGTAAATATTGAGATTTTTAAGAACTGTTTTTACCATGTGTCTGGTGACTGTCTTTGCCCATGGGAATGCATTTATGAAACAAAAAACGTATCAAAATTATCAACACATGATGAATTTTGCTTTGCACAAAAGGACTGTGATGTTTATAAATGAAGTCAAATCAGGCGAGGTGGAAGAATTGAATGAATTATTCTTATACTTGGAGAAAGAGTCATTGGATTTCACAAAACCTATTCATGATGTTTGGGTACTTCTCATTCCACAAAGGACCTGACGAAGGGCCAATTTCATGTCCCTGTTGCGTAGGCTGTAGATGAGAGGATTTAAGACTGGTGTCACTATGGTGTATATCAGTGTGATGATCTTATGCATAGCAACTGAGTTACCAGATGTAGGACTTACATACATCACCATTATTGTTCCATAGAACAGAGAAACCACAACTAAGTGGGATCCACAGGTAGAGAAGGCCTTTTGCTGTCCAGCTGAAGAAGGAACCTGAAGCACGGCTCTGAGCACCAAGACGTAGGACCCAAGGATGTACAACATGGTGAGAATGATGATAATAGAACTCACAGAATGGAATATATGTCCTATGATTGGTGTAGGGGCACAGGATAATGCCATCAGTGGGTCTCCATCACACAGAAAGTGATCAATGATGTTGGGACCACAAAAGGGTAGTTGAGAAATGAAGAAAATAAGAATTGAATATCCAAGGAAACCAATGAGCCAACAAAGAGACACCAGAATGGCACACAGCTGTCCAGTCATGATGGAGGAATAGTGCAGTGGATGGCAGATGGCTAGGTACCGGTCATAAGCCATGACACAGAGGAAGAAACATTCAGTTGTGCCCAGGGAAAAGAAGAAGTAAAATTGAATAAAACAACCAGAGAAGGATATGGTCTTGGTTTTGGAAAAAATATTGACCAGCATATTGGGGACTGTGCAGGTCACATACCAGATCTCTAGGAAGGAGAAGTTGGCCAGGAGCATGTACATAGGGGTATGGAGTCTGTTGTCCCACTTCACTGCACAAATGATGGTCATATTTCCAGTCAGAGTCAAGATGTAGATGAACAAAATCATTGAGAAAAGGATAATTTGCATTTTCCAGGGGCCAGGAAAGCCCAACAAGACAAACTGTGTCACGGTAGATACCTCTGACTTATTCATTGTCCCTAGACTGTGGAGAAAAGACAGAGAGATAATGACAGGTCACTTTGCTGCTATGGCATTTGAACCTTTTCTTAGGACAAGGAGTTTGATTGATGCAGGCAAATGTATTGAATGTTCTAAAACAAGTCTTGAATAAATCCTGCGCTATTCTGAATGAGCTCTGATTCTTGGTTATTATACAATTCCAAGATGATTGAACTGTTTTTGTCAATGGACATCATCTGTTGAATTTCATTTTATTTTGATATAAAGAAATCTTGGAATGATGTCAGAGGAGTGGTGGCATGAGAGATTTCCTCCTAGTCTGTTCTTCTGAAGTTTCTACAATTTAAAGATCCCAGGCCTGGATGGAATGCTGTGGGGGGCTGCTAGTTGCCATTGCTGGGAGGGCAAAGCAACAAAGGAGGCGGTTAGGTTCTCCCAGCTCCCCTCACCCTCACACATTGTGGCTACACTGCTGAAGGCATCTGACTCCAGCACTGGAGTGGAAGACAACACTGGAATTTCATGGATTTGGAGCCCCATTACCCACCAAATTCCCCTGTAGGGCTGGTCCCCTGGGACAAGAATGACCATATCACAGGGATGCCATCCACCTTTCCTGGGAACATAGGTCATTTTCCACTATTCCATGTAGATCTGAAAAGCCAGAAAAGTGCAGGAGAACTAAAATATACTTGTGATTCAGCACCACCTACTGGATAACAATAGAAAGACTTCTTATTAATCTATTAGAGAAAAACAACTCATACATAGATTCATAGAAAAAAAAATTCTTCAAATACAATGCATAACTAAGGTAATGAGGCAGCTCAGAAAGAAAATTACTAGAGCAAGGGACATAAAGGAAAGAATAAACAAATGGGATCTCATCAAAATAAAAAGCTTCTGCACCACTAAAGAGAACAGGGGACAGTGACCAGAGGGGAGAGGGGAGGAAATTTCAGGGGAAAAAGGGAAGGATTTACAGGAACTAGTATAAGGGACATATGGACAACAACTAAGGAGGGTGGAAATGGGAGGGAGGTGGGAAGCACTAGGGGGGTGGGCTGGGATGGGAGTAAAAGACAGAAAACTACGTGAACAAAAATGAAATAAAATTAAAAATTAAATAAATAAAATAAAATAAAACAATTAAAAAGAAAATAGCGTTCAAATGAAAAGAGTAAAACTGTATGGGAAAACATATTTGTCAATGATAACTCGGATAAGGGTTTGATCTCTAAAATATATAAAGAACTCACATGACTCCACTCCAGGAAGACAAACAACCCAATTAAAAAATGGGTAAAGGACTTGAACAGACACTATTCCACGGAGGACATACAAAGGGCCCAGAGACATATGAAAAGATGCTCAGCATTACTTGCCATCAGAGAGATGCAAATTAAAACCACAATGAGATACCACTTCACACCAGTCAGGGTGACCAACATAAATAAATCAACAAACAATAATTGTTGGAGAGGATGTGGAGAACAGGGAACCCTAGTGCATTGTTGGTGGGAGTGCAGACTGGTACAACCACTGTGAAAAACAGTATGGAATTTCCTCAGAAAACTAAAAATGGAACTGCCTTTTGACTCAATTATTCCACTGCTGGGATTATACCCTGAGAACCCTGAAACACCAATCCAAAAGAACCTATGCACCCCAATGTTCATAGCAGCACAATTTACAATAGTCAAGTACTGGAAGCAACCTAAGTGCCCATCAGTAAATAAATCGATCAAAAACTATGATACATATACATGATGGAATACTATGCAGCAGAAAGAAAGAAGGAGCTCTTACCCTTTGTGACAGCAAGGTTCGATCTGGAGAGCATTATGCTAAGTGAAATAAGCCAGGTGGTATGGAACAAATACCATATGATCTCACCTTTTACTGGAACCTAACCAATAAAACAAACAAGCAAGCAAAATATAATCAGAGACATTGAAATTAAGAACAAACTGACAGTAACCAGAGGGGAGGTGGGAAGGGATAATGGGTAGAAAAGGGGGAAGGGTTTTCAAGAACATGTGTAAAGGACACATGGAGAAAACCAAAGGGTGGTAGGATCAAGTGTGGGAAGTGGGGATAAGTGGGGTTGGAGGGTAGTGGTGGTGGGGAAATGGGGACAACTGTACTTGAACAACAATTTTAAAAATGTGAAAAATGAAAGAAAATGAAAAATCTTCAGAAAATAAAATTGAAAACATGCAAATATGTGACTTAAATGACAGAATTAAAGATTGCAGTTTTGAAAAGCCTCAATGAGATTCAAGAAAACACAGATAAGTAGTTTAATGAACTTAGAAACAAAATTAATGAATAAAATGAGTACTTTACCAAAGAGATCAAAACTTTAAAAAAGAGCCAAACAGAAATTCTAGAAATGAGGAACTCAATACAAGAGATCCAGAATAAACTAGCAAGCATGGGAAATCAAGTTGACCAGATAGAGGAAAAAATCAGTGATATCAAAGATAGAAATCTAGAAATCATGCAAAGGGAAGAAGAGAGAGACTTGAACATAAAAGAAACATGAAAGAACTTTATGAAAATTATCTGGCTCCATATGAAAACACAATATGAGAATAATCAGCATACCAGAAGAAGGAGGGAAGAAGGGAACAGAGAGCCTTTTCAAATAATAGTTGATGAGAACTTCCCAAATGTATGGAAAGAACTAGATCCTTGAATCTAAGAAGCAAACAGAATGCTTAATTACCTCAAGTAAAAAAGGCCTTATCCAAGGCACTGTATTAAAACTGTCAAAAATTAATGACAAGGAAAGAATTCTCAAGGTATCCAGGGAAAACAATAAAGTAACCTATAAAGAAAAGCCTATTAGGCTATCATTGGACTTCTAAGCACAAACTCTATAAGCTAGAAGAGAGTGGAAACAAATATTCAAACTACTGAAATAGGGAAATTACCAACTAAGAATAATATATCCAGCAAAATTACCTATTAGATATGAAAGAGAAATAAAGACTTTGCCAGACATATAGAAGCTGGGAGAATGTATCACTAGAAGAACTTTCTTATGAAAAGTACTCAAGGGGGTTATTCTACCTGAAAGAAAGAACAAAAGGTCCCAAAACTACAAACAAGATAATCAGTGATCTCACAGCATAAATAGAAATAATTTGTGACACCAAAAACTTAAAAGGGATGGGGGGTAAAGTTCTGTATTTGCAAAGGAAGATAGAGATCAAATGCAATCAAAAGAAAAAGAACTACTATGTATGAGAATCTTTTTTAAAATAAGACATATGGTAATCACACACACATAAAAAAACTGAACAAAAAAAGAATAATAACAAGAAAATAGAAATTGGAAAGAAGCATGGAAACCACTAGACAAAAATAACAGACAGAAACACAAGGGAAAAGAACCAATGCAGACACAGAGCTAACAGAAAACAAGCAATAGGAAATCTTAATCAATAATTACCCTAAATGTAAATGAACTGAAGTCATCAATAGAGAGAAAAAGAGTAGCAAATTGGATCAAAACACAGAACTCATGTTGCCTTCAGGAAATACATCCAAGCTGCAAAGACAAAGTTAGACTCAAAGTGAAATGGGGAAAATGAGTCTCCAAGTAAATAGCATCCACAGAAAAGCAGTTGTAGCCCTACTTATACCTGACAAAATAGGTTTCAAGATAAAAAAGTAACAAAATATAAAGATGGAAATTTTATGATGATAAAGGGGACATCACATCAAGAAGATAAAACACCTCAATATACCAAAACATAAAAGTGAACTACTAACATAACTAAAGGGAGAAACTGACAAAATGCATTAATAGTTTGGGACCTAAACACTCTGTTGACAGCTACAAATAGATCATCCAAACAGAAAAATCAATGAAGAAACATCAACCTTAAATGACACATTAGATCAAATGGACATAATTGACATTTACAGAGCCTTTTATCCCAGAACATCAGATTATACATTCTTCTCCAGTGCACATGGAATATTCTCAAGTATAGACCATATGTTAGGTCACAAAACTAGCTGCAAAAAATTTAAGAAGATTGAAATCAGCCCTGGCTGGGGTAGTTCAGTGGACTGATCATGAGCCTGTGAATCAAAGGGTTGCTGGATCAATTTCCAGTCAGGGCACATGCTTGGGTTGTGGGCCAGGTCCCCAGTAGGGGGTGTGTAGAGGCAACCACACATTGATGTTTCTCTTCCTCTCTTTCTCTTTCCTTCCCCTCTCTCTAAAAATAAATAAATGAAATCTAAAAAAGAAAAGAAGGAAAACTGAAATCATACCAAGCATATTTTCTGACCACAATGCTTTGAAATTACAAAAAACTGCTAGAAAGAAGTAAAAAGCCCCACCAACATGTGGAGATTAAACAATGTTCTACTAAAAATCACTAAGTCCAAGAAGCAAAAAAAAAAAAAAAAAAGTGAGATTGAAATGTATAGAGAGCCAGCCCTGACTGGTGTGGCTCAGTTGGTTCGGCATTGTCCCACAAAGTGAATGGTCATTGGTTTGATTCCCAGTCAGGGAACATGCCTAGGATGTGAGTTTGGTCTCTGGTTTGGGTATGTGTGAGAGGCAATGATTGATGTTCTTCTCCTCTTTCTCTGTACTCTTCCCACTCTGAAAAATGATATAGAGACAAATAGGAATAACCATACAACATATTAAACCTTTGGGGACGCAGTGAATCCAGTACTAAGATGGCAGTTTATACAATGACAGGTCTATCTCAGGAACCAAGATTTTCAACCAAGTTAATGGTAGGCTAACAAGCTACCATTACATCTTGAAGAACTAGAAAAAGAAGAACAAAAGCAGCCCAAAGTCAGTAAAATAAAGGAAATAATAAAAATTCGAGAAGAATGGAATGCCATAGAGAACAAAAAAAGGCTATTAAAAATTAATACAACAAAGAGCTGGTTCTTTGAAAAGTTTAATAGAAAATAAAAGGGACGTCAAATTAAAAGGTTTCTGCATGGCTAAAGAAACCACCATAAAAATGAAAAGGTAACCAATT